CAAGCCACTCCCACCCGGTCACATGGCCAGCAAGTCACTCCCACCTGGTTACATGGCCGGCAAGCCACTCCCACCCGGTCACATGGCCAGCAAGTCACTCCCACCTGGTTACATGGCCGGCAAGCCACTCCCACCCGGTCACATGGCCAGCAAGCCACTCCCACCTGGTTACATGGCCGGCAAGCCACTCCCACCTGGTCACATGGCCAGCAAGTCACTCCCACCCGGTCACATAGCCGGCAAGCCACTCCCACAAAGCAGGCCACACCCACAGAGTAGGTTCCAACAAACCCACCACTGGTAATAGTATACATGTGTATATATATATGTTATGAAAATGAAAAAATAAAAAACTTTATAAATTAAAAAAAATATTTTCAACCCTGAACTTGATATTTCCTTTTCTACATGTCCTGCAACTCTATAGAGGTATGTATTTAATATTATCAGACAAGTATTATATTCCATACTTACATCTTCAGAGTGCAGAATGGCACCCTCTTGCATCACCATATTTCTGGCAGCTTGTCCTAGGAACTAAAAGACATGAAAATCATGGGAAGAGATATGAACTTTATGTTCTCCAAGGTAGTGTTCTTCCACTATTATTCAAGGTTGACAATGCAGCTAATAGTGAGCTTTCAGGAGATAATAAGATTTGGGAATTATAACTTTATGAACTCATATTTAATCCAGAAGCACTAACTTACTGGACAAATTCTGAACCAAAAGGATTTTCTGAAATTATGTAGAATCTTCATAATAAATGATATATAAGTGGATATGTACTGCAGGCTATTGCTGCCTGCCAGCTGCCTGCAATTTGGCAGTTCAAATCTCACCAGCTCAAGATTGACTGAGCCTTCCATCCTTCTGAGGTCGGTAAAATGAGGACCCAGATGGTTGAGGGCAATATGCTGACTCTATAAACTGCTTAGAGAGGGCTGTAAAGCATTGTGAAGTGGTATATAAATATAAGGGCTATTGCTATAAGTGAAACTTCTTGGTATAGTACAATATTTATGGTAATTATTAATTATGCTAATATACAGTGATTTACAGAAACTTTTTTTAAAAATTGATGTCTCAAATGTCTTGATCATCAATTGGGCTAATTCAGCAGACAAATCCTAAGGGTAAGCAATCTGTAAATTACTTGTTTGTGAATCAAGGATTGAAGTTTAGGGCTGGTGGAAGACATACCAAGCCAGCTTCAATCTGATGTCCTTCAGATGTATTACCATGTAATTCCCGCAAATACCTTTATCATGTAAACAGGATGACGGGAGCTGTATACATCGGAAAAGCATAAAGATATGTTTACATTCAAACTTTCCTAGCGATTCCTTACTGAAATTACTGACAAGTTTCAGCAATTGTGCAACACATACCCAGCACCATTCAATTTTAATTTGTACTACAGGATCTCAGTGGGATTTACCACTTTTTTCAGCTAGTTTGCTCAAAAGGGTAAACCTGAGTCTTTGGGGCAGAAACAAATAGGCTTTTAACCTTAAGAAAGCAATACCAATGATACTCAAGAAGAAAACCTAAGTCTCCGTTATTTCTTATTACCTTGCTTGATTAAATCAGCAGCCGAGCACTTCCACTATGTATATGAACTTCGTTATTACAGGCAAAAGATCTGAACTATTTTGAGTTTTAAAATAAAGATGCTAAGTATAATATCGGATGGCTGTAACTGAGCATATAAACGTGTCAAAATCATCGGTTCATTTAAGGGGAAGAATCAATTGACCCATCTTTATCGCATGAAACGAAGCGACTCTAGGTCAATCCTAAATTTTCTAGCACTACAGTTTTTCCTTAAAAAGGCCGCCCGCCGAAGCGTTCACAGAGACTACAAATCCCACCATACACCGCGATCCTCTTGTACCGACTGAATAATAGTTGGAGGGGAACCGTTGTAGTAGTCTCACTTACCTCAGCGCTTCGGGAGCCCTTGAGCACCTGTTTAGTGAGAGCGATTATATCCGTCCCGCAGTTGGTCACCTTTTCGGTCAGCAATCCTTTCACCGAATGCCCAAATCGTGCCTGAACATCCACCGCCATCCCTGCCGGACTTACCGCCATGTAGCTAACAATCACAGAGGAAGCTAGAGAACCGCACCTACGGATAGAAAATGGGGTCAAAAACATAGAAAAGCGCCCCGAACGGGTTTTGGCAAAGAAGTTGATTGCTCTTACCTTATTTCATCTTACGGTAGTTCTTTTTAGTTTTTCTTATGCAGAAAAAAAAGCCGCTTGCTTTTTATATTATCTGCGCAATACAGGAAATACTTTGTATATTTTAAAAAATTAAAATATTTGTATTAACCGTTTGCCCCAGAATTACTTAATCCAAAGCTAAAGACAAAAAAAACCTGATCGGTTCTCTACTCCGCAGAATACTTAGTATCCATCCCAATAGCAAGTGTGATTGCTTTTGATTCAGCGTTTGGATTTGCACAATATAATGTACTAAATTGTTGCCTAGTCTGTAATTTATAGCGTTTGACTTCAGCTACAGGCGTTAGTTCAGTATGATAATCATCATTCTGTTTGATGTATAATTCTAATAAATTGGATTAATTCAGTAATCATTGTTAAGTCATTACCCGGTAGTACCCTCTACCCACAACTTTATGGTAATTGTTATTTACTACACAGAAAATGGAAAATTCTGCTGCAGTAAAAGACAAAAGTAATTCTGTATTTGCAGATGAATCATTGCGTTGTATACATTGGACAAAGGGTACTTTAATGTTTGGGAGTATTTTAAACCCTTTTAACTTTCTACAATTGTATATGTTGAGAGGACATATACACAGGGGACCATCATGTATTTTTAAAAGGCATAAGCATCTGTTTCACAAAATGCACATATGTTTGTTTCCACATTCTACTTTTTTTTACTTTATGTATTTATTGTCCATTGTAGAGGACAAGGAACTGATTTTCATGAGGTTTCTGTTTGGACTTTTATTTGGTCATAACTGGAACAGTAAGATTTTAGTTAGCAAATCTAAAAAATGGTGGTAGAAATACCTAAGCAGTGTTTAAATTTTAATTAATATGATTATTTTATAACAAATATTAAATAATAAAGAGAAAAAATGAATTTTCAATAAACGTATACCAACAACTATATTGGTCATTCTTGGTATATAGTTAATGACAATGAAATATGATATATTTTATATACTTGATTGATTTTGAAAAGGAAATATTCTACCTATAAAGAGAGCTTGACTGCAGAATATAAGCAGTTTCTAGAAATAAAAGAGAGATAATGAATCTAATTGGCTTCAGTAACTATCTCCTAAAGCTGGTTCAGCGTGCTCCTGCATACTGGTACATACCATCTGGCCCCTCTAAGGAATATTGTCTATGTATATATCTACCGATAATTTCTACTTGGTGAATTGTATATAGGAAGTCAGCATGCCCTGCCACTACGAGAGTTTTTTATTCACATTTCTGCACTCACAGTAACTTTGATGGCATAAACAAACCCTACTGTGTAGATCAGATCAAATCTTTATTAGCATAAAGAAAGTTGCATACAATTAGTAATTTTAAAAAGCTAAAAAATGTATATAGAAAAGATACATCGAAATCTAATTTTAAAGAAGTTAAAAGGTATAAAAAGTATAAAACAATAGATATAAAACCAAGTAATAGTATAGATCACTCTTGAAAATAAACCAAATATTCATTAGTTTATGGCATCGCTCATCATCTGACAGATTTTAAGTGCTGCTGGGAAGAACCTGGTAACATTAGATGTTGTAGTTGGGTGAGTATCTGCAAACAGCAGGGAGGTGCCAAATTGTCCTGTATACTTTAGGTATTTAAACAGTAATGGTGAGATGGACCTAATACAAATGTTTCTATAATACAGGCAGAGTCCAGTGGTTAGGCACTTTGAGATTAGTTAAGTGTTGTGGCCCGGCAGGAGCCGTTGGAGCTGCTGCCAGACTCCGACAGTGAGGGGTCTTATGAGTCGGCCCTGGAGGAGGTGGAGGACCCTGGACAGGGTTCCGATTCCAAGCAGGGCGAGGAGAGACTGGTTGGCCACTAGGTGGCGACTGAGCCTTTGATCAGTGGGGAGGAGACAAGAGTGAGTGATTCAGAAAACACCTGTGAGTTGTTCCGGGATGCACGCCGTCGAAGGGCTACTCAGCGTCAAGAACAATGGCATAATTACAAGAGGTGATTACGCTCAGCTGATGCTCATTAAAATCCTCTCCTGATTATAAAAAAGACTGCGTATGCCATGCCCTTCTGCAGAAATCAACGTTAAGGATTAACAAGAAACAAACTCGGGAGGCCAGAGTTTGTTTGCCAGAGTTTGTTTGCCTTGCTGCCAAGTTTTGTAGGACTTGCTGCCAGAGTGCTTATCTCTTTGTTATGTGGCTTGCAGCCAACGAGAGTCTGGACTGATTAAAAGAAACGTTCTCATTTACGTTGGTTTCGGCTTTCGTTCCTGGACGGAAGAGGGGGGGTCAGAACAGTACCCTGAACTGTATTAATGTCTATTAGAAGGTAGCCAGTACAGTAAATGCATTGGAGAGAAAAATGGAAGAAATAAAAGGCA